TATATTAATATTATAGCCTGCTTATTCTAATATATTCCGGAATTTACTAATAAATAAATATCCAAATTAATAATATAGATATTATAATTTAATTTTTATAAAAAAGCAGGAATTATAAATAAAGATTTCGGAAATAAAGCCTTATAATATAATATTCTAAAGCAAGAAAAAGTATTTGAAATATTATATTATAGGTATATAATTTCTAGTAGAAATAATAATATAATTAGTAAAATTATTAAAATAGATCTCTAGTTTATTTATATTAGCTAAGCTAAATAAAAATAGAATTATATTTATCTAACTAGTATATTTATTATTATAGATCTAATACTAAACTAGATATTAACTTAGCCTTTAATAGTTTTATTAAATTTAATATTATTATTAGTTTATTATAAAGCTTGAAATTAGTTAGAACTAGTAATTAAATATCTAGAGGCTTTAATATTAATTATAAAAGTCTAGATATCTTTTATTAAAGATTTAATAGGCTTTAAAATATAGTTTTTATTTATTATCTAGTATATAAGAGAAAGGAAATAAGATTATTTATAAGAATATTAGCTATAATTATTAATAAAATAGAAATAGTAGAAATAGCTAAAAAAAAACTCTTAATTAAAATAACATAGAAATCTAAATAGTAATTAAATAGTCTCAAATATTATTTTTTCCGGGAATTTAGCTATTATAAAAGCTAATATAATAGTATTTCACTTATCTAAATTTTAATATTTAAATCTAGGGCTTTTTAAAAAACAATAAATATTAATATAAGCCTTTTTATATATATATTAAAAGAGCTAGTTATTATAAAAGTAGTCTTGAGCTAGTTTCTTTAGTATAATAAAAAAAGCTTATATTAGTACCTTTTATAGAAGTTTTATATATTAGTAGATATTAAGGAAAATAATAAGTTTATAATTAAAATTATTATTAAATCTATTATACTTTTATTTTTTAATATAGATTTTAATAATTTTCCTAATAAGTTTTATAATTAAAAATAAAAAAGATAATTAGAAAGTATTTAAATATAATTATAGTAATAATAATAAAGCTAGTAGAAATATAGGATATAATAATAAAAAAAAGGTAATAATAGTAATATAAAAATATTAAAAATAATAAATTCTAGGTATTTGTTTTTTATAAAAGTAATAAAGCCTAATAGAATTAATTTCTTTATAAGATCTAGTCTAATTACTAATAAATTCTTATTTATCTAAATATATTATATATATTTTTTTAATAATAAAAAATAGAGTAATTATAATAATAAAGGTACTAGTATTTTATTATATATATATATATATATATATTACTATATTAAAGAATCTTATATAAGTATAATATTTCCGGGAGTTTAAACTTATTAAAATTCCTTTATTAAATAAAGTTCTTAAAGTTATATCTAAATAGTTTCTAAAAGTTATTATTAATTATTTTATAGAAAATATATTAAAATAGTTTAGTATTTAAGAATTCGAATATCTCCTATATTATAATAATATCTAGATTAATTTTATATCTCTATTTTATTATTATTTTCTTAAAATTATTATTTCTTATAAATATAGAATAATTAAATTAGATAAATCTAATAAAGAAATTATTTATTATAATAGGTTTTATTATTATATATTTTATAGGTTTATATCTAGTTCGGAATATAATAATTTATAAAAAGATTAGATTTATAGAAAAAAGAATAGTTTATGAGATAAATAAATAAAAGTTATTATATTTAAGGTAAAAATTTCATTTATAATAAGAAATTTAAGAAGTAGAATTTAAAAAATAAAATATTAAGATTCCGGAAAAACTTAATAGTTTTAAAGCTTAAAAGTTTCAGGTATTTAGGTAATTATAGAAAAAGTAAATCTTTTTATAAAAAAGATAATTTTATAAAATAGTTAGATAATATAACATAATAAGCTATACTTTATTAAAAATTACTTTATTTTAATAGTTTTAATATTCTAGTTATATAATAAAAGGCGCGGTTTTTTATATATAACTTATAGGAATTATATAAAAAAGCTGGTTTTTCTATAGTTCTAGAAAATAATTTCTTTTCTATATTTAATTAATTAAGCTTTTATATATTATATATTATTTATATTTTACTATTTATACTTTTAATCTTATTATTTTACTATTAAGTTATATTTTATATTTTAGTGTATTTTATATAAGTTTTTATTTTATTATAATTTCTCTTTTATATATTTTATAATAAATAATACAGGAATAATTAAAACTTTATAGTTAAGATAATACTTTTATAAAGTTCTGAGAAATTTCTATAAGGCGGATTATTAGCTTAATAAGTTTAAAGAGAAAAGAACTATTATAATACCTTAAGTCTAAGACTAAAATATTAAAAATATATAAATATTAATTTTAGTATTTTATATTAATTTCCGATATATCTAGTAATTTAGATATAAGTTAACTATAAGATATAATTACTAGTATAATATATAGAGTAATAAGAATAAGCCTAATTGTAAATAAAAAAAGAAATAAAGAAAATAAAATAAGAAATATTATACTAAAATAATATAAATTAGACCTTAATTAGAAATAGACTTTAGTACTCGGAAATAAAGTTATATTAATAATTTATATATTATTTTTAGTTATAATAAAAACCGGAATAGAAGTAGTATTAGTTTTAGTAAAAAAGCTTATTTCTAAATCCGGAAAAGATATTTAAAAGAGGAAATATCCTTAATTTTAAATAGAATAATAAATATGAACCGGAAATAAAAATCGAAAAGAAATCGGAAATAAGAAATTATATAGATAATCTAGAAAAGCTTCTAGAGAAAGAAAAGAATACTAAATAGAAATAAAAAAGAGAATTCAGAAAAGTTAGAGAAATTAGTGAAATTATATTTATTATTATTTTTAATAGTATTATTAGATATATCTAGTTTAGTAAAATTAAGAAAGAATACTATAGGTATTAAGCTAATAGAATAGAAATAAAACTAGAAAAGCTACTACTTTATTACTACTAATACTAAAACTCAAATCTAGACTATATCTATTATTATTAACCGGTTTCTCCCAAATCCCGGTTCCTAAACCAAAAGATATACTTAAACGGGAAATTAGCCTTTTAGGAACCTTATTAATAGAAGTCTCAGGTATAGAAACTCTATAATTAGCTATGGAAGAAATTATTAAGATTAATATAACCGAGAATAAGTATATACTAGTACCGGGTTTAAACCTGCCACTTGCGGGAGCTCCTGAAGTATTATGGTTTTAGGGAAGTAATATCTCTATATTCTTGAAATAGTATATAAATATATATAAGGACTATTATGTTCCTAATAATACTAAGAGAGAGAGAATTATCCATTATATCTCTCCCATTTATAAGGATTAAATCAAGGCTATTGTGGTACGGCAGGCCGTACCCTCCAAAAATCATATTATTTTGGCGGTTTTGAGGTTTTGGTTACATGGCAAAGGCCGCGGCCTTTTGCACGTGACTTGCGGGAATCACATAAGAAAGCTGCTTTTTCTGTAGTCCTAGATAATAATCCCTCCTCCATATTCAATCAATTGAGCTTTTGCATACTGTATACTGTTTATGCTTTACTATTTACGCTTTTGATCTTGTTGTTTTGCTGTCAAGTCACGTTTTGCGCTCTGGTATACTTTATGTGGGTTTTTGTCTTGTCGCAGTTTCCCTCCCACAATAGGTATTGAGCAAGTCCCCCCTATAATATTAATTAATTGGGTACTGTCTCCAGGCTCGGCAAAAATACCAGAAATTTTAGCATCGATACCTTATTACTAAATTTGCGCGAAAATTTAGGGGCCTCTAGCCTATAAATTTAACGATAAACTGCCTAAAATTTAGGGACTGTACGCTAAACAATTAGTAATAAGCTTATCAGGATCGCAAAACTCGAAAAATCACTATTTTAATATATTTTAATATTTTAATTAAAAACTTAGTTATTTTATATATTTATTTAAACCAAATTATTAGCATTCTTAATACTTACAAATCTTTAATTTTTTAAGTTATATAATATAATAGCAAATAAGAATAATTAAATAATAATTAAAATATGGGGCAAGTATTAATACTATTAATACTGGTATTTTTGCCGAGCCTGACTGTCTCTGCAATATTATATTATGAGAGTATTATTTATATAATATATATCGGCATATATCTCATATACCACAAATAAGAGCTCCTTTTTGTGGTATATAAGATATATACAGAATATATAATCAGGTACTGTCTCTATAATACTTTATTAGGAGAGTACTATTAACGTAATAGCGATTAGTTTGAGTACTGCCTACGTAAATAGCTGTTATTAAAAGTCACAGCCGGAAGGGCACTCGAGCAAGCTGTCCGCGAAACGCAGCAGATCATGGGCGGATTAGGCTACTCACGGACGGGGAAGGGAGCGAGGATCGAGCAAATTAGTCGCGACGTGAGGGTCATGGTTGTTGGGGGTGGTAGTGAAGAGATTTTGAACGAGTTGGCATTTGCACAGGAGGGGAGGGATTTGGAGGCTATTACTCGAAGGGGAAGGAGTATGCTTTGATTAATATATAAAATATTATCGAGAATAATGAGCTTTCATAGGCACCATCAGGCGGAAGCAGTGGCTTGATGGAATAGGATAAGTGTAACATAATCAGGGAGAAAACCACAAAGCATGTCTCGTCCAAGGATAATTCGGTACTACAGATTCCGAAGGAATGGGATGCCAAAACCTGGAGTACGCAAAAACCTCTCAGTTGTCGAGCCTAAAAATGCACGGCTGGGGTCGTCTCTTTGGGGGTGGCGGAATTGTTCAGGCTGACCAAGAGGGAGGACAATGATTGTCATATCAAAAGCGACTCATTCTCAGCTGAGGGTTGGAGCAATCCCACCACCTCAACAGTACTGGGGTTAAGTCGGTTTCACTGCTCTGTTCCTTATTTTAACAGTATATCTTCAAATTGATTTGCGATGGTGATATTGAACCTTGAAAATCCAGGAAGTAATACGCAAGTAGAATTATTGATTGCATTGATTTCCACAACCCTCATTTACCATCGGACAGAATGGACAAGAGTCTCATCCGCTGAAGTCTTAGTACTTCCGCGCTGTAGGTGTCGTTCCAGCTTGTCAGCCAGCCTTCCAAGTCCTCCGCCAGCATAACTGCTCGAACTTTACATTCTCTATCACCATGCCCCAAACAAGAAATCGCATCCGCCAAGTAGGTTCGACTCTCATCTCTCAGGTTTTCTCGGAGACAGAGCAAAGCCAAGACCTTGGAAGAAAAGGCAAAGGATTGAGACTCAAAGCCCCACTGGTATTCGCCATTTATGTGAAGTTCCCTCGTTCTTTCAAGCAAGTCTTCTGCTAGTTGTCGGCTCAACGTCTGGTCGTCGAAGTTGTAAAATGAGGCATAGGTGAAGCCATGCAAGACCGAGATCGCTTTCTCTGACTTTCTCCCAAACTGGGCATCAGCTGCAGTTAGAAGCCGTGTGAAATTTGCAATGAAGACTGCTTGGTGCAGACTTTGTCTATCCCAATACTTGATATAGTTTGACCACATTGACAGGACTGTAACATGATCAGCACCGATGGCTGACTCCATGCAGTGAATGGACTTCAAATAGCCGACCCGCAGCGTGTTAATCATCTCGCCCCATTCTACGCTAGATAAGGCGTCCATAAGCAGAAACATCGGATGCTCAGTACCAAGATAGTTCCTTGTCAGCTCTCTGATATGGCGGAGGAATGTATACAGAAGCTGGTAGTCGTTGATATCGACGCATATGCCATGAAGCCTATGGCACATTGGCCAGAACTTGACCATCATGCTAGGTTCACTGGACGAAGCGAGGGGCTTGAGGCTTTGGAAGATACCGTTAAGTGTCTGGAAAGCCTGTTTCATTGACGAGCCTTGGATGAGAACAGACGCGCCAAAGCACTGGTCGCTAACTTGCTGCCACGCCGCGCTGTGATCAGAAGTTCCGGCAGGCGGAAACACACCGAACATATCTGCCATCCAACCCCTGTTTTGGAACAGCACAGAGATGTAGTTCTGGACGCAGTGAACGGTGAGCTCCTGGCGGCGATACTTGTCTGGGCTTTGGAGAAGCGCCGCAGGCGCTGTCGGGGAATGATTTTGTCTTCGAACGAAGCTTTTGACAGGACCGCTTGCGATAATTGGTCTCTTCTGTCTTCGCCGAGGAGCGGTAGCGTGATACTGACTGTTTCGGGCACTTCTTCCGCACCGTTTGGAATTCTTTGCGAATCCCCATTTTGAGAACCGGGTCTTATACATTTTCACACTATGCCATCTGAGTTTTAGAAGCTTCTCAGTAAGCGTACGAGATTTAACATACCTCGCTTGGAAATGGTAAACAAGACTCATCGTGCTCATAACATCATCAAGTGACTTCCCGTCTTCAAGGTACAGTCGATGGATTATGGGCTTCATTTGTTCCCATTCTTGTTCTGAGCATTGGTTCGTATCTGCCAGTGGATGTCCATGCAGATGTCGCGTGCGGTCTGTCAATTCAAAGGGAAAAGTTGATATTGGCATCACATCCAGGTCCTCACTCTCATATAGAGAGGCTCCAGCAAGGGGAACAGTCCTTGGCAAGAAGGCAGCCCGCTGTCCTACGCCAAACGTTTGGCCATTAGGAGAGACTCCAATAATTGTGGACAGGTCTGTGAGAGTATGGTTAGTGCATCCAGATAGAATGTTTATTGTGTGGCTTGGGGACTTGCCTTCCTCTTCGCCAGTACGGCCAGGTATATGTGGAATGTGATCTCCTACTCCAAGGGTCATTTCTGAAAATGAGATCGGAAATGGCCAGACATTGTCAATTTCGTCCGCTGGTACGTCTCTCGAAACAATGTCCCCACTCCGTTGAACAGGTGGTAGCAATGCGCTATCGGAAATCGTCTCGGTTTGCTCAGGTACTTGAGAAGGCACTTCGGGCAACCAAACTCCGTCATGCGCCAGAAACGCCATAACTTTCTCTAGTTCGATGTGGCTCCTGGTGCATAAGCGTGATATCAGGCGGTGAAAGCTATCGACGTTGAAATGAATCCGTCTGAGGCCCGAAAGTATAAACCGTTGCAGCCTTACCCTTACTGCGGAACTTTCCAGAGACTTGCGTGGATCCCACAACATCCTGCACTCCCACTCCCCTCCCCTCTCTCTATTGGTCAGGGTTTGACTGAATGATTCACCTTGCAGGAGCGCCAATGGTGTGTTACTTGCCTATCCAATTGGCCAGAATTGTTAAAGTTCCTCGCAGTCAGGCTTGCAGCTCGGCTGCATTGAGCGGCGTTAAGCTGCAAGCCTCACTGGTTCTGACAGACCTCATATAATTTCAGGCATGATATGATACCTCTATTCACCACGTGCACACCCAGATAGAGCCTATTATACCATAGAATTAGCATATTCGAATAAGACTCACCAGCGGTCATTGGTATGCTTCCAATATTCCCACCAAGGACGAGGTACCCACTTGGGCAGCTCCGAATCAGATGCTCAGAGCTGCAAACTGACATGGTGCAACATATAAAGCGGACTGTTGCCTCCCGTCTGTGGAGGAAGATGAACATTTTACTCCTAACTAGACTGATAAAACAGCCTACGACTATCAATTGCTCGCGTATCAAATCTCCACGGTCAGCTACAAAACTATAATGGATTTGCCGCACTCGACGAACGATCATGGCACAAAGTCACATTCGGGGTAAGTCATCTTCAAATATCTAGAGCTATGGAACTGAGCTATGTTAGCAAGGAAAAAGATGGTCCGATGTTGAGCTTTTACCTTTACGATACGAATTCTGTTCAGGACAGACTTTTCCAACGCAGTCAGTCAATCGCTGGGGGAGCAGAGCAGACGACCGACGGCAAGATTGGGGAACCTGATAAAAGTTTGCCCCGAGGAAGTCATACCAAGGTTGTGCACATGGCTCAGAAGCCTGTTTAAGGCCACTTGATCGGTTGGAATTAGCAAGGGGGGGGGGGTTCTAAGATTATGTGCAACGGATTAGCTTCTGACTCAAAATTAACGTTTATTTCGCTTTTAGCTCGTCTGGGTTTCAAGTTCATTCTAATTTCTAGAAACTGTGAAGTCTTGCTCGTGCTTAATTGACTATAATTGAAGGGTTGAATGCACTTGTGGAGCCTGGCCTTAGGGCTTACTGTCCGCAATAATGCCTTCAATCTCCATTGCAGCCTTCTCGCTTGAAAAAGAGTGAGCGTAGTTATCCTAATATATTAGCGGCCACAATCGTTGTTCCCCTAGCGTGCCAATGCGTGGTCGGCGCGGCTAGGGAGTCGGCCTCTTGCTTCCGTTCGAGGCGCGCAGTACGAAGTGTACACTGACTTCCTCTCTAGAGAAACTGAGGGCTCCCTGTTAAGCAAAGTCGCATCATATCATCGACTCTTCCCCGTATTCAGCGTATTCCACACTGACTTCCTAATGTAATTCTCCGCGCGCTGCGTAGACATCAAGCGGATTTCTCGGTTATATCGTGTGATATTCTAGCTAAGTGATTGTTCCTTGAATTCTTCTCTGCCTGTGACCCGGGCGACTGTTCGGGTTTTAGGATCTGGAGGCCCGTACCTGCACCATCTCCATCGGCGGTACAGATGGTAAGATCTGCGTTGCTATATACCTATTCTATGACTTGAGAGTTTAACGCCCATGACCGGTCGCTCCCTTAAATAATGCATCTTGAATCGACCCACAAGAATCTTTCCCCAAGAACCCTAATAGGATTAATTGTATCTCGTATAGTACAAGGTATCATTAAATCCATCTTTGGAAGTCCTCCAAGCTTTAGGTGGTCTCTAACATTCATAGTAGTTGTTTTGAAGTGATGTCCATCCTGTCCCTAGGTGTAACTTAGACTACTATATTTTGTACTATCAAGTAGATTCGTGAGGCATATTTCCATGATATTAATAACCCCAAAAAACAATTTCGAAACTGGAATTCCTTGTGTTTGCGATTTGCAAGCGTCGCCGTGTGAGACTTCGTAGTTACAGAATCCATTGTCGAATCAAAGCGGCATTGGTCTTCACGCTATGAAAGGGCCTGCCAAGAAATAGGCCCTTCCCTCCAGTTCGCGGAGCAACGAGGACAACATACGACTTAGTATCTAGTTTGAGGCTTTCCATGTGTGTATGACAGGGCTGCTAGCCATCGAATGTATACCTTGACTACGAATAAGGTACCTAGATACATGAATTGTTACCTACGCAGGCTGATCTCGCGGGTTCGAACATTGACCGTCTTAATTGCCCACTCATCGATAGGCTCACATCTGCCGTTCCGAAGCCCAAACATGAGGCCGTCCAACATGTCCTGCAGCGGGTTGTTAGACCCACTACCTTTCCGAGCGTTCTCGGCGTCGCAAAGGTCTTCAAGCTCCAAAACGGCCAGAGGCGTCGGCTCCGGTGTCACGATGAACTTGAAGGTATCCACGCAGGCCGTACCTTCAAAATTCCCCGGAATTTTCATCCGCAGCGGGACGACTAACGTCTGGTCCTTGTCAAGCGGCTCCGAGTCGCCCCCCGATGGGTAGACCTGCGTGACGCCGTAGAGTGGCTGTAGGTCGAAGACTACTAGATGAAGCTTCTGTTTCCAGGTATTATTGACCTGCACCCTCAAGTACTCCTCGTGATTGAGATCGTATGCACCGTTGTGCTCCTTCGCTGGCGCTATGTCGCTGAAGTCCCTACGTATGGACTTGCCCAGTATAGTGACCTCAAAGGCCCGGCGCATCGCCGATGTCTCGTCTGGGTTCTCCAGCGCCTTAACCATGTTGAACAAGGCGAGGTGTTCCAGCCTGTAGACGAGTCTCATCGACGAGGTGGGGTCCTTCGCGGGGAGAGGCGATAGTGGCGGCTCGAGATTGGGGAGGCTGACTCCGTCCCTGTCCAGGATCTCAAAGTTCTCGGCATTGTTGACGCTGATGATGAAGGTCACAGGGAGACGTTCACTTCTGGCAAGGACGCGCATCCGAGCCCTCCTCTGGGTGGGCACAGTATTCCATGCTTGGAGAAACAGCCTCTCGACTTCGGCACTGACTTCGTTTGAGAAGCCGATCCGGAATTGAAGCTTGGGTGGCACGCTGAGAAGCACGGCTTTGCACCCGGGCTCAATCATGCCCTTCTTGACTGGCTCGTCCAGCTTGGCCTTGGATTTCTGCTGAGTGACTTCGATGACTTCGACCACTGCGAGCCTCTCGCCGCTTACGTCAACCGTGTTCTCCTCGTCAGTGGAGGAGAAGATGCCGTACTTAAATCCTTTGTCGACACCGTGGAGCGTCCCGCCATCGAGATCCACGCAATCCACCTTGCCGCCACTCGTGTAGATTTTAGTCACCTGAATAAAGTTTACAGGAGCGATGTCGCCGATGCCGAAGAAGGCTCGGTCCGTCGCGCCTCCGATAAGCGGCAGCTGGTCCGAGTAGATGCTTTGGATCATGGATGACACGCGCCGGTACAGGTTCCGCGTGGAGCGGGCCCTCGAGGGGTCCTTGCGAAGCGTGTCGAGCAGCCAGAACGTCAGCGCGCCGTGCCAGATGCCCTTGCTGTCTTCGTACTCGCGTGCAGACTGGCGGGCCTGACATGCTGCCAGGAGTGCGTAGCCCTGTGGCTCCAGCAACACGCTGTCCTTTAATATGCTGCCCTCGTGGACCTCGTCGTCTGCCCTCCCGATGCCGTGCGCAAGCAGCTCGTCGATGAATATCGACGAAGGCTTGTCTGCCTCGGTCGACTTGTACGTCTGAGGGATGCCGCGGAATTTGACTCGCCCGGAACCTCGAGTCGCGCTGCCGGAGTGGCAGCAGTCCAGTACGATGGTTGCCTGCAGCTTTCGGTCCACCACTTTCTTGAGCCAGAGGGCAATCTCAACGTCGCGCAGATACTTCCCGCCGTTATTGGCGTCTGTTGGAGCGAGAGCTTCGTCGAGGCCCTGGTTGCCTTTCAGCGTCGGGTACACAGTTGTGGCCTGGGCTCCGTGGCCAGAGTAGTGGAAGTAGACGAGGTCTCCCTCTTTTGCCTTATCGAGAACCCATTGCATCGCAAGTTTCATGTTGTCGTATGTAGGGGGTCCATCTGATGGGCATGTGGACTCGCCATCCCATGGCGCTGTTAGAAGTGTTCTAATTCGGCACTTCTTAACCCCCATATGCTTGATCAGATGCTCTTTGACCTGCATTATATCGAGCACCGCCCCATGGAGGCATTCATACTCAATGGGCTTGCCCAAAATGTCTTTCTTGGTTTCCACCTTGGGACCTTCGTAGACATCCACCCCTATGAGGACCACCCACTTGTTGACCATGGTCTTAGTCCGGGGCTCGTGATAATTAGGGCGGGCGGTGACTGAAACGGACTTTGAATCCTCGCGCTGCTGCGCTTTGGTTGTGCTGGAATGGCTGCTCGAAAGATTCATACAGTTACGCTTGGCTTGGCTTGTGGAAAGCCGAGCTGATTCTCGGATGACATAAGAGTCGGCCACCACAAGGTCCCATACTTCCTCCAATCATTGGGTTATCCTGAGCTGAGAGGTCGCCACGTTTGGTCATCTAGGAAGTGTGATTGGGGGAAGGACGAACTGTCTCCGGACAGTCGAATCGACAGTCGGACTGTCCCCGATAAGGATTGATAAGTAAGGCGGTGAAGCGTGAGGCAGGTGCTCACCCCACCAAAAATCGCTCACCCTTATATACTATATCTATATATTATGCCCCTTCTCTTTATACCCTATTATTACTTAAAATATTTACTTTCTTTAATTCTTTTCTCTCTCTTTATATATATAAGTATAAGGATAAGAGAGGGGAAATATAAAAGAAAAGAAAGTAAGAAAGGAAAAAAGAAAGGAAAAAAGAAAGGAAAAAAGAATAATATAAAGGAATTTTACTAAAAATTTATATTATATTTTATTAAAAAGTTAAGTATTAAGTTTTTAATATTTATAACTTATAATTTAGTAATTATTGCTCTGAAATTTAGTAACGAAAAGCCTGTAATTATAAGGCTTTGCCTTTAACCTTTCTTGCTTAAAGTTGAAGGGTTTCCGGGCAGGAGCACGGTAAGCAAAACTCACCACACCCTTAAATCACATGATCTCGGGCTTCTAATTCGCTACTTCGTTAGTGTGCCTTTTTTTCCAACGTTCTAATTAGTCGCGACTTTTTGGTGGAATACCAAAATTTTATAGGGAGTTCAAGCCTAACCTAAGCTTAACCCAAGCCTAAGCCCACCCCCCGTGGTCGGGGAGGGGGGAGCCTGGGCCCCCCTCCCCCCAGCGTTCAAGTCAAAAGATTTTATCTACGTTTTTGATAGGCTCGAGAGCATTAATTTCGAACGGTTGAAGGCAGCTTGTGCGTGGCTGCACGCTCTATCTTTTTTTATAATTTGTATATGTGATGTGTGCAGGGCCACACGTGACCAAATTGCATGTGACGGACCTCGGGTGTCGATCAGGGAGATCGGCAACCCTCATACGTCACTATTATATTACTGTTTATATTATAGGCTTTAGGCTTTTGATTCTCTAATTATACGTACGTTATCGAGGCCTCCTATTTAGAGGAGGCTTCCCTGGACCTTATAGGAGGAATAGAGATTAGTTTTATATTAAATTTAATACTATAGTTTTATAACTTACTAATTTATTTTATTGTCTCATTACCTACTAATAAATATCTTATAATGAATCTCTAATTTATAAGGTATTATAAAGCTTTAAAACTAAAGCTTAATTAATTAATATTTTATTATAAATTAAGAAATATATAATTATATTATAAGCCTTCTAATATACTAGTATAATAAGGCTATTAAATAAGAAGTAATATAAAGAAAAATAAGCTTTTATAATATAGAATTATAATATATAAATAAGATATAAAATTAAATAATAAAGATTAATTAATTTCTAAAAATAAAAAATGAAGGCAAGATAATATATATAAATTGCGAATTATATATATTTAAAGCTTATATAATTGCACTATATAACTAAGGGAAAAAATCCTTATTATACTAGTTTATACTTATATTAAAAAATTTAACTTAAGGTCTCTAAATACCCTAGCCCCTAATTAATACGTTAATTGATACCCAGAGGGCCAGAGAGATATTATTTTATATATTCCCTTATTGCGCGACTATACAAACCCTTACCAAGTGGCGATAGCGCTAGAAAACGCGGCAGAATCGAGCTTATCGATCCTTATCGGGGACAGTCTGACTGTCAATCCGACTGTCGGGAGACGTTTCGGGGGAAGGATGCCTGGGCTGCAGGTCGAAGGCGTGGCTTCACTTGATTGGGAGACGACTACCCCGTCAACACAGGCCGAGTTCATCCGGCGGCTGCGCTAAGCTATGGAACATGCAGAGGACATCAAGCGCCACTTGGAGAGGGCAATTGGGCAATCCCGCTCTGTCAACCAAGGTAAGATACAAATACTCAAGAGAAGAGTGCAGCTTTGTTACTGCAAATCGGTCAGGCCCCGAATCTCGCACAGCATGACAACCACCTCAGCGTCCCTGGGTCGCCTCCTGCCGCTCGAAGCAGTCGATCTCGGCCGACTCGTCCTAGACATATCCGAGCCAGCCCAAGACTTCTACGAAGCCAAGTCCCTCCCTCCCCCCGAGCTCAAGCAGGAGGTGCTCAACTTCAGCGAAGTCCTCGGCCAGTCGCAGGGGTTCAAGCTACACGGCGACCTCACGTCCATCCTAACCGCTAAAGCCACATCGCAGCGGACTTCTACCTCGCTCGTCAAGTCCCTGAAGTGTGTCACGCGCCAGCTAGTCAACTCTGGCGACTACTTCCGCACGCTATGCCGCGTCCCCAAGGCCCGCGACTTCCTGGAGCGCGCCATCCGGCAGAAGCTGCCCGTCTTCCTCGTCACGGGTATCGAGGCGGTGATAGACTCGACGGTCGTACAGACGGGCGGCCACCAGCGCGAAGTCGCTGTGGACGTCACGGTCCCCGTAGCCGCGGCGGCGGCTGCAGCTGGAGCGCCGATCCCAGTGCTGGGCGATCTCATTGATCCGGGGGCCGGGAGGTCGCAGAACCGGCAGGTGGATGCTGGGAACGAGCTGTACGCGCCCGGAGAGCAGATCTACCGTGTGCAGTATCGCAAGATCGAGTTCAGCTTCTTTAGTAGGCGTAAGGTTGATAATGCCTGGCTCGAGAATGGGAATCGGTGGAAGGCGTACGTCGGGTTGAGGGGCACAGACGGGGATGCTGAGGACGATGGCATAGAAGCCACCTTGAGCGAGGTCCAGGAAGCCGGCATTTAGGGAGAAGATCGTGCTCTGGAGGCCGGTGTCTAGGAAGAAGTCGATGCCGAGGGGGCCATGTCCAGGAGGATAGCGTGAGTGGAATGGAGAGGGGTTAGAGGTTCGATGTCGAAGTCGAGAACCGATTGAGAGTTACGTTTTAGTGATCCCCTGTCAGATGTAGAGTAATTTTGGGACAGAATATAGTAGCATGGATCAAATAGCTGATATCTCAAGAGCTTCAAGAAAAGAAGGAGGGGAAGACCTCCAAGGATCAGCTCGCTTATTTCACCCACAGTACTTCAAAGTTTACAATAAGCAAATTATTAGTTATTATATAAAAGCTGAAGCATTATACGTTAGAAGCGTTAAATGGAAAGTTAATTTAGCTAGAAGAATTGCTATTATTGAGGGAGTAGATACTTTGAAGTGTTGTGAGTGAAATAAGCGAGCTGATCCCTGAGAGCTGGAGGGGATAGTAAGCAAGAAAAAGAGCTATACCATATTAGGCAGTTCCAACCAACATCCCCCTACCGTGAGAGATTGATTTGGCTGAGACTACATGAGGCACTGTCAACAAGAAAGGGCCGAAGTCGCCGAAGTTTGATAGTTAGATAGTAATCGGATGTGCCTAGAAGCTAATGGAATCGTCAAACGCCGAAATGAACGTAAGGCACCCAGAGAAACTTGTCCACAGAGAGGACTCGGGCTTTAGAACCGGCATTATCATCATCGTCGTCAACATCGCCATCATCGTCATCATCGTCTGGTACTCTGCCATTGCGGCGACGTTCCTCTACTTCATCTGTTAGCATTCCAGCGACTTCCGAAGATGGCTTGTCTCTCAGGGCCCTCAAACCAAAATGCAGCCCCTTGCAGACCGCCCTATCTGTGATACCATCGCTTCTCAGTGTCTCATACACTGTCTCAGCGACCTCCACACAACGCGAATCCAAGACAGGCGAGAGGCTGCCAATAACGTGTCTGAAGCCCATCTGCTGGTACACCCCGATGAGGTGCATGCCCTCGTCGACGAGCCGGTCTTCATTGATGACGCCCGTTGAGCAGGCGGAGAGGTACGCCAGGAAGGGCTTGTGCGCATAAACTCTGAAGTCTTTCCCCAGCCGGTCGACAGTCAGCGGGTTCTCGACCCAGTCTCGCAGGCACAAGGGACTGAGCAGCGGGTCGAGCGGGTCTAGTCGTGCGTGGCCCGCGAAGTGGAAGAGTTTCGTACTGAAGAAGTGTTCCCTGAGATCTGAATAGTTTGGCAGTTCCTTAACGATGGGGCGGATGTTGAGAGAGTTGCACACGTCCCCTACCTTAGATACCTCGACCGGGGCGAAGGGGAGGGGTAATAGACCGGCCGTCTCAGCCATGGAAACGAGCAACGCTGAGTCTTTCTCTGGGTCTCCAAAAGAGACGCGCTCCTTGCGTCTTCCGTAGATGAGAGACTTGATGGAGTAGCTGTAGGACGACATGGCTCTATCAATCACCGTCTCGCCCGAACGGGCGGCATGGTGGCCAGCTGCATGCAGGGGCAGGCAACTAGTGGCGCCGGGGAGTATCCAGAACACTCTTTGAAAGTCGCCATCTTCCACGGCCACGGTATACGTTAGCTTTTGTAATATTTCCCGTGCTGCAGAGCGCCACAACCAGTTGAGCAAAGAGGCGATCCGAGATTGACGTGCCAGATGTCGGCTTCGCCGTTTGATCTCGGCCAGAGTCAGCTGCTTCAGCTGTATTGACCTAACTCCAGAAGTGTGGACGATGAAAGCATCGCAGCGCTGTATCGTCGCATTCAGCACTACCATCGGTCCCTCCCGAGCCTCTTCTTTCAAATCTTCAATGTTGTGGAGCTGGAGGAAGCTATGCAAGCGCGGGGTTTCTCTGATTTTCATCACCAGAGACTGCATATCCTGAAGAACCGTCTGGACCTTTGTGGCTTGGGACTTCCAAAGGCTCTTCGTGGCCGTTGAGGCCGGGAAGGACAGACACCCTGTCAGAGAATCAAGAACGCCCCTCAGCTCAGCATACTGCCACATCTCAGGGCACTTTACATCAATGAAGGCATCAATGTCAAACAAAAAGCCGTTCGTCACGCTGCGCCCGGACTCCAACAGGTTCAAAGCCAGGTAGTCGTCCCTTTTCGCCTCCATGGCCGCGGCCGCCGCCTCCGACGCCAGCCCCTGAAACTTGGCGAGCATCCGCTGGCGCGCCGAATCCGACTGCGTCGGCAACACGACCGAGTGCAGCAGCTCAACCGCCTGTTCCAGGTATCTGCTTGCCGCTGCCCAGTCCTTCTTCACGGCAAGTATGGAGGCCGCGCTGCGCGCCACCAAGATACGCGTCTCGGTGCGGGCGAGCGGGCAGGCCCATCCTTGGGAGGCGGCGTTAAGAGCATCGTCGAGGTCCATTTGGTCGCCGCCTCCTGGCATGTCGTACCGCTTTCTGAGATGGTCGCAGAGCTGGAGCTGCACGTCTGCATGGTGGGGATGGCGGGCGTCAGGGTGGGATGCTTGGTCCGCAGCTTGGCGGAGAAGGCTCAACGCGGTGTCGATGCTACTCCGAGTCAGCCGCTGGCTGGTCTCGAATTGGATTCCGTAGGCTCTTCCCAGGCCTTCTATAAGAAGTGGCCGGTCAGCTATAAGAACGCCGGAGGCGTTAACGGCAGACTGCGCGAGGGCAATGGCGTCGACGGCGTCTGAGCCGGACCGAGTCTTTCGACTCCGAACGAGTAGCCACGCCGCAAGGTTACTCTGTCTAATGGCTTTTCGAGGATCGCCATCAAGCGTGAGTTTCACGGCAGTCTCGCCGGCTAGCACTGCGCGGTGAAGGTAGCCCCCATCTTGGTCGTGTTCAAATCGGCGCATGAGCCAGTATCCGAAGTCATTCCAGACGCTGGCCCCAGCACTCCCACTATCCGCAGGAGCGAGTTTTGCAGCCTTTTCAGCCTCTTGAACTGCACGGTCTATGTCATGAGGCTTGCTGTGCCAGGCAAACCGGCGACCAAGCCAGTTGCTCAAGGTGATGAGCCTGGCCGCTCGACACGGATGGTCTTCAGAGGTGACTTCCACAGCACGCTCCGCGACTTTGATCACGAGGTCTAGCTCTAGGCCACGAATCTCCCCAGTGCAGACGAATCTGGTGTCTATTACGGCCTCGCAACTGCCCAGAACGTCTGCCAGGTACGGGTGGTTGTTGGGTATGTCGGATGAGGCGCCGTGAAGACTCCTGACGGCCTTGTCCAAATGCTCGACGGCAAGGGTATTGTGGAAGGCGCTGACGAGTTCATTTGCGTCGAGGAGCTTAGATGCCAGATCGGGTTCTAATGGCTCGTGAGGCTCGTTGGGTTGGTGAGCAGGACGCTCCAGATATTCGGTGGAAGAGCCAGTTCTCGAGGCCACATGATGGCATTTTACCCCCGACTGGCAAGCCATTCGCTGGGTGCTGCTGAAGGCGTCGGAGGCAGACTTAGAACATCGCTGAAGTTTTTTTCATGAAGGTGAAAGAGGTTGCGATGCGGTGTGGCGTCTTGTGGCGTTATGAGGCTTCATACCTTAAGTTGTGGCGGGAAAAAGTAAAACGACTCCCCCCCCTCCCCGGTGTCGATTAGGGGTTTCGACTACCAGGACTAGGGGTGTCGATTGGGGGCGACTGGCCACTAACCCAAAGTAGAGGCGCTCGGACAGAAACACCAAAACTCTGGCTTTTTTATTAATTTAATTTAATAAGGAATTAATATAATTTAATACTTGTTTTATTTCTTTATAATACTAATTAAGGGCTATTTAAATATAAACATTTTATAATATTTGTATTAGTAATAGCTCCTTAAATTAAAAAAGTTAAAAATATCATATTTTATAGCTTAAAGATAAGCTTAAGAAGCTTAGAAATTTAGTAAATAAGTTCCTAAAACTAGATATAAGAGCCCTATAAGCCCATAATTTATAAGGCTCTATAAGGTTCAAAAATTAGAACTTAATTAATTAGTATATGAACTTCTTTAAATTAAAATTCTATTTCAAGGAATCTTTTTATTATAAGTTAAAAATCGCGTAATTATAATACAAGGGGTATAATATACTAGCTTATACTTATATTGAAAAATCTAACTTAAGATTCTAGGGAGCTTAGGTAGCCAAATACAAGTCGTTAATACCCCTGCCCCAATCGACTCCCGGGGGGGGGGAGTTTTAGTTTTTCCCAAACCAGGACTGCGAGAAAAACTTTGCAATTAAAAGCCAACGCTTGTAGCAGCTAGGCCCCTCAAAGTATTTATGCCATTCTTGGAGATACTTCGGGCCCTCACGTTCATATCGTACTAATTCAGTAAGTATTTCAATGGCTATATCACTCTCGTCGGTTTCAGGACCAAGCCAGATAATGAGATTTTGGGCCCCCATATAGATTAATCTCATTATTAATACCTGCTCACGTCTCTCTTCTGGACCCTCTTGATAACCAATAAGATCACGTAATCTGCTATACTATCACATGATAAGCAATAGGGCTAAAATGAGCATATTAGCTAGAGATTAATAAAAGACTATTAAAGGTCAAGGCATCCCCTCTTCCTTTACACTCTAGCTTAGTATTTTGAATATATGATATTCTCTGACCTTTGTGCCCTGGCCATGCCATTGCACCGATCTCGCTGCCACAACTGGCGAGTCCCTTTCCTGGTCTCAATATTGTCTGCACTCTGTACCACAGCAGTGAAACATCTCTTCAAATTTTATTCCTTTCAATTGGCGGTGTTTAAAATAGCATCGCTTGTGTTTGCCAAGAAAGGAAGGCTAAGCAGTTGTGGTGCCCAACCAGCCGCTTTCCCATGATCCATTCCCAGGGAAAAGCAATGAACCTAGCAAGCGGCTAACGAGCCTGCGCTCACTAGTCTGTGCGCGCAGGGCATTTCATATATAAATGAAAATCTAAATTCTTCTAAAGTTAAAGTTTTAATTGTGCGAAGTGTAATTTAGTTATTTTTATACCCTTTCCAAAGATTATAGATTATTACAATTAATAGAGGTTGTAAACTCTTAAAGTGAAAGTCGTGACTTCTAGGTTTTAAGGCCTGAAGGCGTTTTCAGGAAGCCTGAAAATACTTAAAAAATGCCCTGTGCGCACAGACTAGTGAGCGCAGGCTCGTAACCTCGTAAGGACTAATGCGCTACTGTGGCTTGCGCATTCTCAGCTCGGGCTCGGGGGGCGGGACGGTCCAAATGAAGCGGGGAGAGAAGGAATGCCCCAGCCTTGCTAGGGGTATGATTCGGACTGCTGGCGAAGCATAAATCTACCGATGTCCCCACATTTGTTGGCTATCCATGAACCATCTCAAAGCTTTGATTAGGTGTTGTCCAATTCCAATCTCATTAGTCTTCTCATCATGGCAAATACCCAGCCTGCGTCTGATAATAGTTCCGACTATTGACAAGTTTGGACAAGAATGGAAGGGCAATACGGAAGCATATCAAATTGGTAAATCACCAAGATCTCTCATTCTGACGTTAATGTGAGTTTCCTCGTATTTGAATTCCACGAAATTTTTCTAACTGCGTTGTCTACTACAGCTGGCTCGATTACCACGACAACTCGCCCACACCATCCGCAGGTCCTGAGCATCAACAAGAATCCCAGAAAGAGACTGAATCGACAAGAAGTGACATTGAGCTTGTCCAAAATAAACCCGAGACGACTAGCGAAAATCCACCGAAATCCAACCTCCCCCCTAGTGATGATGAACAGCCTCCCGACAGATACCACAAAATATTACAAGATGCGCTTTGTATTCGCTGTGTGGGGCTATGCAAAAATATTCTGTGGCGAAATATTACAGAAGCTAAGTCTCGTTACGAATCCCGTTTTCGTACTTACAAAAAAAATAGCAAGCGGTGCTTCCTCCAGTGTTTGTTAATCGCAGTTAAATTTAGAGTAATATGTTCACAGTGTTCACTAACTATTGCAGTTCATACAATGCAAGTGCCGTATCTCAATACCCCGAACGTGAGAATGGCACTAGTTCATCATGTCGACATTCCACAGGCGGTTACTGGATTTGGCAAGCCAGAGGAGAAAATTTTCGCGTTTGTCTTAGGGCTGAAAGGAATTGACATTGGGATGGAAAAGCTTCTTGATGCCCTAAAGCTTTACTGGGAAGCTACCGACGAACAGCGTGCTGCCAAAGAAGTCGCTGCCGAAAAAGTTGGTCTGACCCCAAAGCTGTTCATTGCAGCTATCCTGAAGCTATATGGTTTCCGAGCAGCCAAGAAGTCAATACTTGTGAGTGCTTACGACCGCCTACTGTCAATCGACACCAACCTTGTCGCGGCAGAAAAGCTGCTCTTCCTTGACGTTACATCGAAAAAGCCGTTGACTGAAAGGGAACAACGAGGAAAGCTTGCAATCCAGGTCAAAACCTGCACAAAGCTGAATCAAACGCTAATGGATATCAATATGAGCCTTCCGGGTGTCCGGTCACGTGTCCACTACATTGGTCTTTGTGCCCGAGGGCTTGTCCGAGACCAGTCCACGATGCAGGCATATATTAAAGACAAGCTAATAGCTACAAAATGTGACAGTTCCACTCAGGCAAAGGTCACTCGAGACATTCAGCCAGCGAGAATAGGTGGACATGACATTGAAAAGATGGTTACAGAGGAGACAAGACCATCTGTGCCATTACAAGGAGAACAGACCTCAAGATACAAGACGATTGGAGATCGAGGAATGTCATTGGATGAAGCACTAAGTGAGCTCGGGACCACAAAGTTTCACAGGCGTGACAACGACAAGCTGGACATGATTGAGAGAGCTATGGAACAGTTTGAGGTTGATATTAAAAGCCTCAAAGCACGCACAACCATTGCGATTGGCTTGGTAAGTTGTCTCATCCCATGCTTTATGGTAAGAAATCAAGCTTATATTAGCATAATGAAGGTATCCAATCTTTACGCTCATTCACAAGGGAACTTCCAAAGTCTGATGTTGCAAGCTGCCGAGCGAGATAGCTCAAATATGAGAACTATCGCAACCTTGACTGTCCTACTTCTCCCAGCGACATTTCTTACGGTACGTCAGCCAGAAAGAAAGAAATTTCGAACTGATTGTTGTGGAAGGTTTTGTTCGCTACACCTATTATCCAATGGGCTGTGCCTGTTGTCAAGATTGCTTCGGGCTCTGGCTCAGACAGTTCGGATAGCCCCATTAATCACATTGATCGAGGCTTTCCCATATTAGCTCTCTTCCCGTTCAGTTTATATATGGGGTTGAGCCTATCCACCAACTTGCCCCTTCTCCTTTACCTCCGCTGGGAATGGTTTCTGAAAAAGTGGGAACGAGCCGTTAGGACCAAGTGCAAGCATGTTCAGGATGACTCGACATACAGAGCGGAGCGCGAAAGGGAGAGCGATATCATGAAAGTCATGCATCATACGAAAACCCAGCTTGAAGAAGACGGGATGTGGGGAATGTGCGGCGGTGAAGGAGGGGGTAGACAAAGTAGTGTAGCCATGAGTAGCATCGGTAGGAGCAGTTCCAGTTCCAATCATTGACTGTAGATATAAGAGACGTCTCTGCGAAGCATGACCTCTGCCACTCTAACAAAAAAATTAATACCTTAATATAAAACAATTTTCTTGTATTTCTAGTACATTAATTTAATTTGCTACTTCTATAACCTCATATACAAAGGTGGTTTCGTTTTATTTTACAATAAACTTTTTCCTTGTTTTAATTTTATACTTTATATATAAAGAAGTTATTAAGAATTAAATATTATTTTTCAATCCTCTTAAAATATTAATTAAACTCTTTGCTTTAATAAAACACGAGACATATCTCAAATATAATTATTATAACTTAATAAATAAAGAATAAACTTTTAAGTAATTTAGTTATAATTAAATATTAAATATTATAATATTAAAGCGTTTTCTATTTAATTAAATACTTTAAAGCTTAATAATAATATTATTATAGTATTATTATAATAAGATTTCTTATTTAGGTATAATATAATTACTTTACTTAATTAAGCTTTATATATTTATATTTTAGAGTTTTTATATCTTATTTAAGCTTTTTTTTAGCTAGCCTCAATTAATTCTTTTATTAGAAATATAATTTCTTACTTTACTTTATTTATATATATTAGTTTATATAAGGTATTTATTAGTAAGAATATTGCCTTATTATAATAGGTTTAATAACTAGTATTTTGCCTTTACTTACTTTATTTATTTTTATAAATAAGTGCTATTATAAGGGTTTTGGCTTTTCTAATTATATAGTACAATTATATAATATCTGGAATAAATAACTCACATATATATTATCTTGCTTTTCTTTTCTTTTCTTTAAAAATCAATTAATCTTTACTCTTTTCACGCTTTAATTATATATTATTTAAAGAAAATAAAGAGAATTTATTACTTTATAACTTTTATATGAGTTTCATATAATAATTAGAAATATTTAATTATATTTAATTATTATTGGTCTAATAATTAATTTATAATTAATTAAAATTTTAATTTAATATAATTAATTACTTTAATTATTTTTTCAATATATTATTTAAGAATATTTGAATTTAAAGGTTAGTAATATAAATTATTAATACTAATAGCTTTATTTTCTTTAATATACTTTTATATTAGTTCTATTATAATTAATAAAAGAGCTCTAATATTACAAGCTTTACTTTTTAACTCTAATATTATATAATAATATTCTTGATTTGCTATAAGATCTAATTAACTTATATATTACTTGTTTTTATAATAGCAAGAACGAAGCAATGGGACGAGGCTCAAAGATCTATAATTCCAATGTCCTACAGAATCTAAAGCTAAGGAGAAAAGGAGTGAGGTGTGGCAGTGGATAAGTAGGTACAGCCAAGACCACTGAAACACCGAGCTTTAGAACCCGAGCTTGGTTTGAACCATAGCTTGGAACCTTAGCTGAAACCAATCATGTGACACTAGCCGTCACATTACCCCCTCCCCTCCAAAAAGCTCGACCCGAGCGCTAGTAAACAAAGGGAAAAGCTAAAGCGAGTATAGTAAAATCAATAAAACAAAGGAAAAGGACCCTATTTTCTAGCGATCTGCTTTATCTATTCTAGCCCTAGTGGAAGCTCACAACCCTTATTGGAATCGCTACCAGAATCAGAGTAATGGTTATTAATTGCGGTAGTCGTGACCCATTTGCCTGAACCAGAACTAGTGGCAGTGCTTGCAGGAGCCAAGCTATAGTTCTTGATAAAGTGATCCTGGGATCCGCATCTGATACACCTGCCGGTTTGACGATACAGCTGGCGGAGCTCCTTTGAGGTGGAACGGGCTGGCATAGCCGGTGAGATTGGCTCAGATAACGTGAGAGTACCAATTGCCGGTGTAACAACGTCGTCAATTTTCAATTCGCTAACGTTCATTGGGTTACTGGCAATTCTGGGAGCAGTAACGTACGGTGGAGCGGCTGTTTTTGACGAAAGTTGCTGGGCCGTTCGCAGGAAATTACCGTACGTTCGCGGGAGGATAAGCTGCTGTGCCAAACGAGAGCGAACTACAGAGTTGAGGCCATTGCGAAAGCTGGATATTTTATTGACATCTGGCTAGCTTTGCCCATTTGCTTCGTATAGGGTACGTTCAAACTTGGCAATATAGGCAGGAATTGTCAATCTATTTCTACCTACAACCGGACTTGAGCATGCGCTTTAACGAATGGAATATCGATTGGGATGATATTGAGGACCAGTCGAGAGCCTCGGAGTCATTTCTTCCGCTCTGTTACGGCAGCGTAAGGCTCGATCCCCGCATCGAAGCCTTATCTAGCTCTTCAGAGGTTGTTGGAATTCCCAAATAAATAGATAATCAGAGTGGATATTAGCTAAGACTACCTTGAGAAAACTTGAAAGTATTGCCACACTACCTATTAAAGAAGATATGTGTTATTGCAGCCATCAGTCCTCCCCGTCCTCAACCCCCTCCTCCCAATCTATCGTCGATCCATCATTGTCACCCTGGGGGCGCTGACGGAACTGCTCAACGGTATGTCTAATAACGTCAGCTGCAGCCTCGCGCGAGGGTAGCTTCCTGATCCCGCTGCTCAACAGGGGCGACTTCGCCACGAACTCGGAGATGGACGGCTCGAGCTGCTGGATCGCGTTCTCGGCAAGGTCGATCTCGAGCTGCGTGATCTGCTCGCTATCGTACCACAGGAGCCGGTCGTATACTAGGATGGCCTCCGCACCGATGCTGAGGATGGACACCGTGCGGTGGTACATGTCGGCTCTAACGATGGGGCGGAAAAGTGTCCAAGTTCCAACGGATAGGATGATGGTAAACACATTAAGGAAAGAGAACAGGTTGGCAATGGAAGAGAACATGACGGGGAGAAAAGAGAAGATTCCTAGTGCCCCGGCCATGCCGCTGCGGACCACCTCCTGGTAGCTCTCCCTGTGTCTCATGTTTGCGCGCCTAGGACTGGTACTGAAGGCCGCCGAGCCCTGGAGAGTGACCCCGAACGTCGCTCGGAGATGGTTGAGGAGAACCAGTCTCAGCTGCAGGTATTTATCGTCCAGTGTCTTTCCCTTCATGTTCTTCAGCTCCAGGTCGAGATGCTGGCAGTACTCGGCCACCTTCTTGGTGGCAACGGGATGCCGCCGGTCTAGGTGCTTCACGAGAGCGTCTTGGTAAAAGCCTGCCACAGCTGGGCTATTGATGCTTCGTATCGTCTCTGCTCGCAGCTGCGGCAGGGTTTCCTTATCTGTGGCAACGTTTAAAATCGCGAATTAAGTTTGTACATTAGAAGCTCACCTTCTCTCTTATTACTGGTGAAGAAAGCCGTTACCTCCCTCCCAAGGGCCTCCTGCCAGTCCGCGACGCGGTTTTGCTTCATCTCCTCAATGGTGTGGCTTCGCAGGGCATCCCATTCCCCGTGTTGGTGCTGAGGGATGCCCTCGATTTCATGTATATCCGGGTGAGACTCCTGGAACTTTTCGAATGCGATAGCCTGGCAGAGGTCCCGGAGGCGGTCTGCCCGGTTGAATATCAACAACACAGACAACCCGCCAAAGTCGACACAGCGGAAGAAGTCCATGTTGCACTGTGCGATGCGGTCTTCGTCTGCCTTGGCGAAGTACCTGGTGCGAAATTAACATCATTGAGGGAGGCGGAGGAGTATGGAGGGATGGATGGGGCCATTGAATTTACCAGATTACGTGGAGTTGTTCTCTGAATGGGTACATCCTCCTCCTGCGATCGAGGAAGTCCTGCACGATCTCGTAATGCTGCTCGGCACCAGCCTCGAATCCGCTGGAATCATGAAACGTGATGGGGCTCCAATCGTCAGTCAGTTCCTTGTCGATATCATGTTCGACTGAACGCGAGCCGTGGCCGACGGTAGCCTGAAAAATCATGCAATTTTAACATCTCTACGCCGGCATAGGTAGGCAAGTAGGAGAGTCTTACTAATTTTTTCCCCAAGTAGCCGTTGATTAGGGTAGACTTGCCGGTGCCCATGCTCCCGCAGACCAGGACCCGCGGGTGCAACGTCCGGATCCCGCGTCGACCAGGCTTTGGAAGCCATGGGCTGAGGGAGTTTGCGTCGAAAGCTTCAATGCCATAGCTTCTGAGCGCTGATCGGCATTGAAGCGTGTTGATGGCGTCAGTGACATCTGATGTAGTGCGGTCATGCATTACCACAGACGGGTGGATGAAGACACCATTCGACTCTAGAACTCCCAGTCAGCAAACGTCGTGTTAAATTGGAAGGTCAGCGCACCTTCACAGCGGCCAAGGAGATTCTCGCCCTGGAAGATCTTCCTCTCCGCTCTCCACAGTCCTCCGAAATGAGGAATCCAGTACTGCGACTCGATTGGAGCTGGCTCCAGCGTCTTGTTAACCCTTGGATTGAAGTCATCCTTTGAAAAGGGGTCACTAAGGCTCCACAGTTGGACATGAATGCCGTTCTGAAGCTGTACGGTCCCCTTCCTGGCGCCGCTGGGAAAGATGTACTGCGTTGGATCCGCAATCTTGCGCTGGTTGATTTGCTTGAAAAACAGGACGAGGCCACTCTTTCTCGCCTCCGAGACCATCCACTGCACAGGCAACAGGGCGAGGCCGTCGCCAGGGCACGCGCCGCCGATGTTCCAGTGGCTCCCGGCAAACCAAGCCTCTTGCCAGTCTGCAGGTTTCTCGTCGGGTGACCTCGGATGCAGCTTGTCATAGAAGAACTGCGGATTCATGTACTTCCGGTCTTCAAACAGAGCAAGCGCATGTCGAACACAATCGACGTTTGGGAGGAGACCTATGTCATAGAAGCCGTTATCTCTGAGGAACTTTACAGTGTCAAAGGCGCCGAGGAACGCAATTCGGGGCGCCTCCGTGGTGTGCGCAGACCTGGGAACTGTCAGCGCTCGTACTCTTGGTCTCAAGACCTGGGACATGCCCAAGCGGGAGACTTACAGACGGAGCCAATCCTTTCGGACCTAGGGTCAGCCAAATACTACATGTAATTATTCTCGGGATTTCAGGGTGGACGACATACGTCGTGGCGATTTAGCTCCGACTTGTCCTTTACCTTGGTATAAATCCTGAGAGAGTCCCTGAAGAGCATGTCCCATGTCTTCCTGTCCTGCGTCGGCTTGAGGGCACGCACGTAGTGAAACAAGCCGGCAACAGCACGAACGACATCTAGTTTGCGGTCAACGTCATTCGGCGAATAGTTAGAGATTAGGGTACACACAGGCACCACGGCTATAGCCAAACAGGAAGATCTCGTCCTGAGAAGGACAGGGGGCATTGTAGCAGCAGTCCTGCAGCGAGAACAGGTCAATAAATCGACCACGTGGACACTCAAAATGCGGGCACGTACATGATAAACATCGCGAATCTTGCTCTGGAATCCTTCACCGGTGAGGCCGATAAACTGGCTTATGGGATACCAGTCCGTAGCGCCAATTCCACGGTAATATTTTGGTATCTGCCATAATTAGACGATTCAGCCAACAATAGCTCACCACATACTTGATTCCATACTATCTTACTGTTGGGATCCTGAACAAGACCCTCTTTGGAGAGGGCAGAGATCCTGAAAATATTGCTGCAGTTCCGCTGGCTCGGGGAGCCTTGCAGTCTGCATGTAAGCTCATGGGGCAGACGTTTGACACAAGAACAAAAATCCGCTCCAGTTCACTTACCTACGGCCCCATCTGGCAGATAATGCGTGCCATCAACACAGCGGATGACCCGCCGTGGGAAGTGGCGTTTATGGCAATCCTCGCACACTTTTAGGCGACGCTTCTCGGCGGTGATATCGACGTTGGATGTCTCCACTTGCTCGGGCCAGACGCTGTCGGTCCCGGTCTCGGTGACGCTTGCCGTCTCCGCCGGATCCTCAGCGGCGGAATGATGAGAGGCAGAATCACCCTCGCAAGTATCAGAGCTCTGTGGCTCTGACTCTGCCCATGGGTTATACATGGGTATCTATTGTCGCCGAAGTGTTGGGTGCCGAGTGATTTGATAATGCGGTGATGTGCTTGTACTGTTGGATGTTGTCTCGACTCTCGAGTCGTTCAGCTTCGAGTCTCGGCCCGGTACGAGAAATTCGCGCAGATCGACGTGGAAGGCATTTTCGCTAGTGCTTAAATAGGAAGTTTGCCAGGTCTTGATTTAGCGATCGAACGCCAACATAAAGACCTCGAGTCCAAGCCATTTTGAGGATTGGGAGCTCAGTCAGGTCACTAATCGACCACTGACATTGTGGTTGAATAAAATTTAGCATTGTTGACAAAGCATACGACGTCTAGCTAAAGGAAGATTATGGCGCTGTCCATCGCTCAATGAACCTCTCCTCGCAGCTCCGATCTCTGACAAATAAAAGTCACAGCTTGAGGCTATCATCGAATCCGCATCTTCAAAATCCTCTGATTCAACCTCCTTTTGCTGGAGTTCAGCCTTCAGATCTACAATTTGTGTTCGAGCTCTTGGACTCCAGCGCTGAGCTCCATGCCTGTCGCAATTGAATCTCTTGAATCTTCCTGACTGGCCAGATCTTCCGTATCCCTGAGACATTTGCATCTCTACGCATTTGGCCTCCAACTCACTTCTGATTCGTTCGACCTCCGCTCGTAGAAATTTCACATCCCGTCTGTTTTCCCACTCAATACTGTTTGCTTCTTCACTCAACCTATGTCTCCTCAGCCTCCTCTTAAGCCGACGATCAAGCATCTGTCTCAACGGCTCGAACTGTACAGTCCCAGATGTCGGCACGCCATAATCGCCGCAATTCCAGAGAGTGGCAGATGCAGAATGATGGCCACTTGGAGGCGGTGTTGTGCGGAGAGTTGTTCAAGCGTTGTCCATAACAATTACAGATTTTGGCTCCGGATATCTGCCACAGTAATGCAGCAACTGGGCAATAAAGTTCTCAAACATATCACTGTCTGTTGATCCTTGGTATACTCGCCTTAGCATAATACTATCTTGCGGTATGCTGGAAGAATGTGCCATCTTTTTCACCACCGAACTTTGTAACCTGGAATGGGGAGAATCACTTCGAAGACTACCTCTAATGTCTATATCCAGCCCTTGCATTATAGCCTGACTCATTAATAAAGACAAGATAGTAAGACTTATACTGCAATATCTTATATAGATAGTAATCTCGATGGTTGGCATCCCGTTATTATGCGATGCAATAAATCACTATTCTTGTCTAACCTATTAATTGCAAAGTCTAACTAATTAATCTTTCCGATATCCTTTAACAAAACATATAATAGAGGAAGTCTGCCATTTTGCATTAATACAGGTAAGGCTATTCGATTAGTATATTATAGAGGGCTTTTTATATAGTGATATAATGCAGCTATAATGGCTGATGCAGTTTATTCTTGAGGTGGGCATTTCGAACTACTATCTCTTTAGATAGATTCTCTGGACAGCACACACGCTGCACAAGGCTTCTGAGGCTATTAGTTTGGTCTCAAACCCTTCTTTAAGTAAAGTTTCAATCAAAATATGCTATATAGTATCTAGTTGCAGTGCCATGGTTATAGCTAATGAAAAAGTGGCTAACTCTAGCAGGTTGGAAAAGAGGAAGGAAGAATAGGTCATTGCCAATTCTGCCTTTTTTAAGTACCTCCCTGGTACAAGCCACACAAGCCATAGCCCTACCCTGCAGTCTACCAAAAAAGTTAACTAAAAATCTAGCAACACCCAATTTGCCTTTTTCTATACTATATACTGAAACAAGTATTATAATAAACTAGTTCCTGATTAGGTTCCCAGACCATAAAACCTCTAATATGCCGAGTAGCCATATATAAATAATAGCAAATAAAGAGAAACGCCTAGAAGAAATTTTAGTAAAGGAAGAGTAGCATTATTAGCAAAGTAATATTTATTAGATAGCCTTGCTTTTCTATATTTAGAACTCCTTAGAGACCTCGTAATAATAGCCTTAATAATATTATATTAGGCTCACTTTAGAATATTAGCTATTGGAAATAAGGAAGAATTAGGCTTGCTTTTAATATGTATTTTATTCAGAAATCTTCCAGAAATTCAAGTATAAGAAATAAGACTTCTGAGAATATCTTACCTTATTCCTTTAATATATATTAAGGATATCTTCGAGGCTAAGCAAATAATTAAGATCCGGAAACAGAAATTAGAAATGCAAAATATAGTAAACTTAGAATTACTTTTTCCGGAATCTAAAATATAAATAAATTCTTTATTTTTTTAACTTTATTACCTTATATTAACTTAATTATAAGTAATATATAAATATTATTAAGTATTTTCCTATTTTAAGACTTTACTAGTATTATTATTATATTTAGTATAAATTTATTAATAACTAGAAAGTAATAATATAACTCGAATTATTTCCCTAGTTTAATTTCTAAAAAATATAATTTACTTATAAAGAAATAAATAATAATAATAGCTTAAATAAATATATTAATAAAACTCTAATATATAAATTTAATAACTTAACTTTTAATATTTTATTATATTATAATATTATATTAATATAAGATTAGAAAAGCTTACTAAAATTAATAATAATAATAAATATAACTTATATTTTAAATAATACTAAAGAATAATATATAAGTTATTAAATAAAAAAATATTATTATAATTCTTATAATATTTATAAAAATAAATAATACTTGAAAATAAATAATATTTAAAGAAATTTGAAATAGCTAATAATTATATTATTATATATATCTTATATTTATTTATAATTTATTTTTTATATTTAATTTAGAATAATATTTGAACTTATAGTTAATTATTATATTTTATAAAAACAAGTTTACTAGTACTAGATATAATAATTACTAATTCTTTATTATTAATATCTTTTAAGATTTTTAAGATATTTAAAATTAAAGCTAATAACTAGTCTTATAATTACAAATAATTCAAGTAATATTAATATTATAAAACCTTGCAAGCTTATAAGCCTTATTAATTAAAATAAATTTTCTTTTATTTAGCCTTTTTCTTTTTCTTTTAAGTAATTTAATAATTATAATAAATTAAGGGAATTATTTTTTAAAAATTAAAACTAAAATAAATAATACTTCAAATTTTTAAAGCAATTATTTTTATTTTTATATTTAATATTTTAATTAATACTAGAAATTTACAAAAGAATATTTGAAATAAAAATTATAAATACTAAAAGTCAAATTAGTAATTAATTTAAAATTTAAAATTTAAGAAAGTAATAATAAAAGGGATTTTTTAAGAGGACTAAAATTTAGAATATTATTTTAATATATTTAAAAGCGAAATATATATTTATAATATTAGTTAAAAAGAAGCTTTAGTATAAATTAAGAGACTTTAAATAATTTTATAATAAAATTACTTTAATTTAATTATTAAAACTATTTAATTAAATCTTCTTAAAATTAAATAATTAAGGCCAAATCTTTTCTAATTATAAGGGTTTAAGTTAAGAAATATATTAATTTTAAATATAAGACTTAATATAAGTATTAATATAGCTATTACTTTAAAAGTTGTCACGGGTACGGCATTCTGGGTTTGGAAAGCAAGGTAGAAGGTCCCTTACAAAGACGATTCAAAGCTAAGGAAGGGAAAACTAGAATACAGGAGGCTGCGAGGGAGTATATGCACCCTACAGTGCGCTAGTCCCGAAGGGGCTTAGCCTTCTAAATATCTCCAGTGCATTCCAAGCATACTTCCCTAGCGAGGCGGCCGCGTTACGTGCGTCTAGGAGGCATCTGGCATCTGGGAATCGTGACAAAAGTTATATATATAATTATAAAACTCGAAGATAATAAAATATAAGAAACGAGATATAAATAATAAGTGTCGGTTTACCAGTAACGCATGGCACCGTCACGTAGGCGTGGAAATGCTGGTTGCATTGGTTGGTGAAGTTATTATTATTCAGAAGTAGGGATCATAGTATCGTGGTATTAATATGCGATTCCTAAATCTGCTAAGCCTAAAGGGGTCTAGTCTACTGGTCGAGTCACCAATGGGACGCGAGGTCACATGACCATGTCCCGTATCCCATGTCCCATTGCCCATGTCCCATTGCCCATGTCCCGTGTCCCGTGTCCCGTAACTACGCACGTGACTCCCAAAGGAATAGCTATACTAATACTAGAAACTCTCTAAAAACGCGAAAAACAGTATCTCTCTCCGATTGTATGCAAATTCCCTAATCCGGCCTAGTGCCAGATTTCCCAAACGCTCTGTATATTTATATTGCTTCCGAGGTTTTGGTTATATGCCAAAGGCTACGGCCTTTTATACGTAACTTCCTTTCCTATAATATCCTCCTATCCCATATATCTATTTCTTGCCCTATCCGTACTCGACCTATTCCTCTATATCTAATTATATAGTATTCGTATTAATTAGGTATTTAAGGGCGTTTATTAGCTTCGATTTTATTATGGAATCGGCAGGATTTAATTCTCCCTTAATCTATTTAACTTCTATAATCTCTCATTATTTATATGCCTGGTAAAGGTATATTATATTAATTATTAGACGCTTTTCTCGAGTAGTTCCTAATTTAATAAGGCATTTATATAATAACTTCGAATTTATATAGACTACTAGTAATAGTTTCATTTCTAGTACTTTATTAATTATAGATTTAACTAAAGCGCCTATATTAAAGCCATAAGCCATACTATAGAGTTCCGAAGCTAGAATACTTCTAGTAACTCTCTTGTATTTAGTAAAGAACTAGTAGATAATATTAGTATATCTAGTTCCGTCTACTAGAACTAGAATATATCCGATTTGGGAGAAGAGATCTCTATTATTTGCAAATAAAGTATCCGTAAAAATAATTAAATATAAGAACTCTTTTACTAGCTTTACGAATCTCAGTCCTCTGGCAACATTCTCAATTTACTATTAAATGCGCTTATTAAGTGCCTTTATATTAGTTTCCGAGGGTTTAATAGCTTAAGCAGTAATTAATAGGTTATATAAAGCTTCTAGTTAATAGACTAATATAATATATACTTCTCTAGTATATTAGGTAATATATTAGTCCTTAATAGAGAGATCTTAATAAATAGTACCCTTACTATTTATAGTAGTAATATTTATTATAGAAATAGTTCAGAGGTTTTTATACTAGTATTCCTATATAAGGGTAATTCTAGTAATATCCATATAGATAATATCTCTATTAAACTTGAGATTATAGTTAATAGTAAGGCATTTATGCTTCTTAGCCAAGAACTTAGCCTCTTGGAGCTTTAGTTACTTTATCTTTATAAAATTATTAGTTCTAATAAACAGGGTATTATTAGTTTAAAGGCCAATAATTCCGAAGGGTTACTTACTATAAAGGAAGCAAGGGTTATAAGTTAACTATTTCATAGAAAGCTTATTAATATAGTAGAAATAGTAAGTCTTAAACTAGTAGTTCCTAGCTTCCGGTATATTATATAGTGGTTTTATAACCTTTAGAACCGAATTATTATTCAGATTTAGCTCTCTAGTAAGCTTATAAGGTGAGTTAATATAAAAATTATAGTTAAGTAAGATTATTAATTAGATATAAGCTTGCGAGATATTATATAAATATAGCTCTATAATATCTATTATTATAGTAGTAATACTAAGGATAATTCTCTAGCTAATATATTAAATAATAGGTAATTATATTAATATTATATGTTTCTTACCGTTATTATAAGCCTAAATAACTAGTCTTGACTTCTTAAACTCTCTCTCTATACCCTTATTTTTAATCTTATTAATAAACCGGAAGTTGAAAATATATACTTTCTTTAGTACCTGAGATCTGGGAATAACCTCAAATATACCCTTTTCCAGGAAGCTAGTAACTTCAACTTAATAAGAGTTCTTATATAGGTTATTATCTTATAGGAATACCATAAAATCCGAGTTCTTATAAGGGTATCCTCTACTATACTTTAGTAAAATAGCAGGAATGGCAGGAGGAATTATATCTGTATTACCTTTGGCCTTACTATAAAGTTCGGGAACAGGTTCAGGTTCGGGACTATTAATAATAACCTTAATATCCCCTATATAAAAGGGCTTTACGGAGGTTAAGCGAAAAGTAGTATTACCGTATAATAGAGCTAGTATACAGTTCTCCCCGTTAATGGCTACTAGCTTATATAGCCTATT